TTTGTCAGCAGATTTTTTCAACTTTGGCGCTTATAATTTTCCTTTTAAAAATCCTTTTAAACAGTGCTTCAAAATCGTCTTTTTTCCGCTTTGGCGTCGAGATCCAGTTTTGGAGCTGCAATTTCCGACGCCGTTGCGCGTAGTTCTTTTGTGTTTTGCAACTCAGTCTTTGCAGATCGCATTGGGATGGCTGCGTCAGGGTTGCTTGGCGCAGCGGCTGCATGCGTAATACTATTGCCTTTTGCAGCTGAAGATCGTAAATCGTATTGGAATGGCTGCATCAAGGCTGCGACAGTGATTTGTCAGCAGATTTTCGCAAATTTGGCGCTAATAATTTTCCTTTTAAAAATCCTTTTAAACAGTGCTTCAAAATCGTCTTTTTTCCGCTTTGGCGTCGAGATCCAGTTTTGGAGCTGCAATTTCCGACGCCGTTGCGCGTAGTTCTTTTGTGTTTTGCAACTCAGTCTTTGCAGATCGCATTGGGATGGCTGCGTCAGGGTTGCTTGGCGCAGCGGCTGCATGCGTAATACTATTGTTTGAAAAACCCCTGTAATGCATATAATATAAATCAGGATTCTGGGGCCTGGGTTTTAATTTTGGAGGGTTTCTGGGTGTTAAAACTGGTTTTTGAATGGTGCAGGATACATATCAAAACGGTGTTGGCTCAGCACTATTCGTTAGTGGTGTTTTATCCAATTCTGCTCTGGTTTACATATGCGTGGTTTATTCAGGCTGCCCCGTCCAGGTCGGCCCAGGTCCGCCTAAGTCTGCCCAGGTCAATCCCAACTTGCAGGTTCTCCCAGGTTCTCCCAGGTTCTCCCAGGTTCTCCCAGGTTCTCCCAGGTTCTCCCAGGAAATTAGTGATTTCCTGCGATTTGTGGGTTTCCGGGATTTCCTGGGAGAACCTGGGTGTTATTTTCTGCGTTTTTGTGGGTTTCCGGGATTTCCTGGGAGAACCTGGGTGTTATTTTCTGCGTTTTTGTGGGTTTCCGAGATTTCCTGGGAGAACCTGGGTGTTATTTTCTGCGCTTTTGTGGGGTTTCCGGGATTTCCTGGGAGAACCTGGGTGGAAACAGTTGGGGATGGGCCTGGGAGAGCTGCAAGAGTTAGTTCGGGGAAAAGTGGCTGGAGGGTGGCCCGCTATTTTGACCCGCAATTTCTAAATTTCTGCCGCAGGCGTTGCCGCCCCCTTTGGCCTGCAGGTTTGCCACGCTTTAAAGTTTAGTTATAAGCATTACAGGGGTATAGCAAACTATTGTCTTTTGCAGCTGAAGATCGTAAATCGTATTGGAATGGCTGCATCAAGGCTGCGACAGTGATTTGTCAGCAGATTTTCGCAAATTTGGCGCTAATAATTTTCCTTTAAAAATTCCTTTTCAAAAGCGCTTCAAAATCGTCTTTTTGTCGCTTTGGCGTCGAGATCCGGTTTTGGAGCTGCAATTTCCGACGCCGTTGCGCGTAGTTCTTTTGTGTTTTGCAACTCGGTCTTTGCAGATCGCATTGGGATGGCTGCGTCAGGGTTGCTTGGCGCAGCGGCTGCATGCGTAATACTATTGTCTTTTGCAGCTGAAGATCGTAAATCGTATTGGGGTGGGTGCATCAAGGCTGCGACAGTGATTAGTAGTACTGGGAAGTGATTCATGAAAGCTTAGATGACATATGAGAAGAGATGAGATGAGAAGAGATGAGCTGGGATAAGGTGAGAAGGGCTTGGATGAGATGAAGTGTGGAGTGTGAAGAGTGCAGTGTGAAGTGTGGGGCGTGAAGGGTGCAGTGTGAAGTGTGAAGTGTGAAGTTTGGAGTGTGAAGAAAGCAGTGAGAAGTGAGAAGTGTGGACTGTGAAGTGTCAAGTGTGGACTGTGAAGTGTGAAGTTTGGAGTGCGAAGAGTGCAGTGTGACGTGTGAAGTGCGGAGTGTGAAGTGTGGAGTGTGAAGTGTGAAGTGTGGAGTCTTAAGAGTGCAGTGTGAAGTGTGGAGTGTGAAGTGTGTAGTGTAGAGTGTGAAGACTGCAGTGAGAAGTGCGAAGTGCGAAGTGGAGCTTCAAATGTGACATGGGAAACAAGACATCAGTTTCGCAGAGTGCACGCACGCACCGGCTTGGCTGGCGCACGGCGCAGGCAAGTTCTATAGATGAGAAAGGTCTTATATATATCTTTAAGGCAACTTACGCCCCGCCTCGTGCGGGTACTACTGGTAACTAAACATGCTTTAAAAATATAGTGAAAACCAAGACAATGTCAACGAGCGGAAACGTTGAGCAGGAAATCCGATTTGGTTTCTGTAGATAATGTTAGATGATGAGCAATGTAGTTTGGTGATAGGAAATAGTGGCTGACTCGCGTGCAAGACATCGCCATGAAACCTTGGAGCAAGATGCGGATGGTATCGGAAAAAAGATGTATGAGTTGTACGATTTTAGGAGTTGCATGGGAAAATCGGTTTCATGGTAATGTGTGTGAAGTTAGAAAAGTGTGATTTCGTTCACAGAGTAAGAAAAATAAATACAATCTGCAGATTAGAGTATTTATAATGCTTAAAGCTGTTTGACGTTTTTTTGGTGCCTCCCTGATTCTGGTAGTTTTGTGATAAGAACTACAAAAACGATCTACTGGTAAACGGAAGGAATAGTCTTTCCGGTTTAGAACTGAGTCGACTGTCAAGTGATGCATAGGCTCCAGGCCTCTGGTTACTGTCACAAAGCATTGGAATGAAGATTGCGCCCAGGAGCCACCTAGGTTAGGAGACAAATGCTGTAATATCATTGTAAGAGGCCGTACTGAGAAGGCTGAAACAGAACTAAAAGTGAATCTTGTACTAAAAACATCGAGAAAGAATTTGAATCTTCTAATGGCAATGCCTTTTAAAAGGGATGTTTGGCGAGTGTGATAGCTGAGAAGATTTTCCGGGATGCCAAACAATTATCTCTATCGATGTCAGGCATGATGCTATTCCGCGACATTTCCTGTAAAATACCTATTTTCCAGACCCTTGGGGGGTGGGGGGGGGTACCCAGGTCTGTAAATGGCCTAAATATATATACTTTTGATTTGGACTGCATGTTCGCCACTGTTCTATATTTCCCGTGGGTTTTGCATTGTTTTCCTCGATTTTCATTCGTTCTTATACCCTTTCTTACGTATGTTATAATATTGTCTTGGGTTTGCACTGCCCATTTTGCGAGTAGAGCTATGTTTTGATTTCTCACCGTACGGCCAAAATGTTGCGGAACTTCGCGGAGAAGCATGGACCACGATTCTGGGGAGAAACCAATTTAGACTTTGAGAGGTCACATGACCACTGTTCACACAAAAAAGCGGGTATTATTTATCTACAATAGGTGGGAGCAAACTTGCGCTGTTTTAAGATAAATGAGCAACCAAAGGCGGATTTACGGAACTTGAGATAGAACTTTTCACACTGCCGCAGTACATTGTAGGAAACATATTTGGATATAGAAGTTACAAAATCGTGGAGTTTACCATTTAAGGATTGGAAAATTATGACCCGATAGCAATTGTTGATGTTGGGGCGCTTCATGTTTGAGCCATGCCATATGGATGAGGTGGAGTTTCACGCGCCCCCGCGCGAGTCAAAAAGCATGCGCTGGCTTTCGTTCCACCCCTTCTCAGGTTCAACTATTTTCTAGGTTAACGAAAGGATCAAGTATAAAAGCAGCAATCACCACTCCTGCTTGGAATGTTTGATCCATTAAGGTGAAGGCTTACAAGTCCAAAATAGGGGGAGGTTGGTTTTGAGATGTTTTTAGGGTAGTGAAAACAATAACGTAGCCAAGAGAGCTCGTGAAAGGCTTTTGCAAATGCTCACAGAATCTTTTCACCGCGCAGTCACTTCACATGAAGTTTCATTGTCGTTTGTCTTCCAAGGTATTCACAGAATCTCCTCATGTTCCTTTCCGTTTCCTTTCTCCCGTACGAGACGTCAGGCATGCTCATCCAGCTTGCGAGAGGAGCTGGAGCAAGCGCAGGACCTGTGCCTTCAGCGGCAGAAGTTCAGATTGCTCCATGATACCCTTCGGATCAATAGGCCAGATTGATGATTGATAACATTTAATGCCATATAATGCCAATAATGCCATTTGATGCCCATGCTATCCCATGATCCCCCAAGATGGGTCTTCTGATCTTTTGTTCATCTATCGATCTAAGTTTGGTTGGAGACTTTGTTTGCTCGGGCTGGCTGGCTAGCTAACTAGTTGATGGTTTGCAGTTGTGCCTTGGATATCTTTGGATATTTGGCCCGCTTAATGCAGGAGGTGTTGTCTCAACGACACACTGCTCTCTCAGCCTGTGAAGAGAGTGTTTCCAACTCTGAGGCACGCGGACAAATGACATTTTTACTTGAAATTTGAGTTTGGTTCTGTGGGACAGTAGGTAGATTATGGTAGATTTAGAAATCAGAACAGTAAACAAAATGTAGGAGAGAATGTGTGGTTCCAGCAAACGTCCGGAAGGATCCCCCTGCTCAGCAAACTGCAGCAGCAATCATGCATCAATCATGCAACCGGTTGCAATCCTGTATTTTAATGATATATTATATATTATATGATATTATATATGTTTTCATGCTTGAAACTTGAAACTGTCATGGCAATTTGCTGTACCGTGACGCCTTGATTCAACATGCGCCAATTTGTTCAAGATTCTGGTTACGCTGAGGGCGTGTTGCAACTAGCAGAGTCCGAGCTCGACAGCTGCACCCAGGAGTTGAAGGCCCGAGATCTGACGAAATGTGAACAACTTGCAGGTGATGAGTTGACAGGTTTAAATCATTTTAAATCGGTTAGTTCGGAAAACAAATTTGGAACACCAGAAATCTTTGAACTCCCTGCATGCCTTGAGGCAATGAGCTCTGAAGATGTTGATAGTCTGCAGGTTGAGCTCGGGTGCCCGTGGGAAAGCATCGCAAGAGCATGAATAGATATGAATAAATCCTTTGTGCAGATATATGCAATATATGCAGATCCCATTTACCAAGGATTGAGAAGAAAAAGCAAGCCTTCGCCAGAGCTGAGCAGGGCACTGCCATCATCTCAGATATTTTCGAGTGATTTGTTTGGAACATATCGCAATTGATGATGATTTATTTTTGGGGATACTAAAGTGACAAGGTGGTTGGAGGTGGAACAGTTAAGGCAGATCCATCAATCGTATTCAACCGTTTGTTTGGTTTGTTTCTTGGGGTCAATTTTTACCTTCAAAGTAGATCAAAGGAGCAGCTAGCTACGCACAAGGCGGACGCCATCAGCCAACGGGCCACCATTGGGAAGCAGATCTCAGAGGTGAGTGCATCGCTGGAGGACATTTGGATGGGGATGGGATGTGGAGTCCCTGGAGGATTTGGAAGATATCTATGGATGCCACATCTATGGAATCTATGGATATATCAACCGTGCCATCTCAGTGGGGTCGTCATTGATAGACCAGAAACATCCAGAAACTGTAGCACTGTATATAGATGGTTTGACTGTGCAGGACAACCGAACTGCGGCAGAAAGGGCTACTACCGAGGCAGTAGCCGAAGGTGTTGCTGCCAAGAGACTCGGACCAATGGAATCAACTGAGATAAACTGTACGGAACGGATATCAGTTGACACTGACAGTGCCATTTGTCAAATCGGAAGTGCGGTGCATTATTATATATCTTTCGAAGGAGCAATACTCACAGCTCCAAACACTTTACTGGACGTCCAAGAATTGCGCAATCTTGTAAATATCTTGTGTTCATGTGCTATTCATGTGCTATTCATGTGCTATTCATGTGCTATTCATGTGCTATTCATGTGCTATTCATGTGCTATTCATGTGCTATTCATGTGCTATTCATGTGCTATTCATGTGCTATTCACGTGCTATTCATGTGCTATTCATGTGCTATTCATGTGCTATTCATGTGCTATTCTACATTGCAACGGGTGCTGAAGGAGACACGTATAATCACGTATATATCTCCTGAACCATGAAGAATTACAGCGTAGCTCCACAAACGAAGGATCACTTCGTACTGTTTGTGGCCAAGGAAAGCCCTTCAGCAGTTGCATGTCCTGAATGAAGCTGCACCCGTGGTGCAAGGCAGGGGATTGCCGGATGATCATCTGGGGTTGGTAGGGTCATGTTACCGTTTCCAGAAAAGAGAAACAAAAGAGGTAAACGCAGTTGCAAAAATCAAAAGAAATTTTGTGTGTAGCCATGCTTCTGATGCGGTTGGCACCATTTTCCAAGCCATATCTGCCGAAGATTTGTCAGGGATGCCAAGGCAATTCCACTTTTTCTTACATCTCAGCGCATCAATTGCTCACATTGGAACTCAAGACTGCAACTACGATCCAAGCAAACGGCCGCTCCAAATCCGTAAAGCTTTGCACCTAAATCAGGAGATGCTTTAGAACTTTAGAATTATCTAATCTAAGTTCAAACATGTTCAAATATGTTCAAACATTGACTGACATGTCCCAGAACCAACACTTGAAACCACTGAAAGAGCGCAAGCCTTCTTGAACAGAAAATCCTGTGAGGTGACCGCAGTCCTATGGTGGAGAGCCAACAGGAATCCCGAGCTGTTGCACAGACTGAGGCAAGGCTGTGACAACATTTGAACCATCCAATGCTGCTGAGATCGGTAGTGGAAAAACCGGACAGATCATGACAGATCCATGGCAGCGTGGGAGTATTCAAAACCACTGGATGATTATAGGGGGTTATACTACAGTACCATACAAGACCCATATTGATCCATGTTGATCATATTGGAATCCCACTTCGATTCGTTCAGGATGTGTAGGAACCCGTCTTTGCCAGGCTTCCTCATCCGGTTTGCGAGAGGAGCTGGGGCAAGCACAGGAGCAGCACTGATTGAGTGGCATGGCGGTCTGACTGGCTGATGACTGGCTGATGACTGGCTGACAATTTTGCTCGTGTGGTTTGCAGTGCCTTGGATATCGTCCTCGTGAAGGAGGTGTTGTCTCAACGACAAGCAGCTCTCTCAGCCCGTGAAGAGAGCGTCGCCAACTCTGAGGTGTCCCAACGGAAGGGTGGTACAAAGAGCATGCTTGTGGCAGTTGGATGTGCTCGTGTCCGAACTTTCCATTTTAATCTGCAGATTCAGATGTGTATATAGAGCATTTTTTGCGGACCCCATGCAGATAGAACATTCATGTCACAATTTGCAAAAGAGCACCATTTCGATCACCATTTCCATGCAGAGCAATCTTACTGCCCACTGGCACCTTCAATTTGTTTCGGGACTGTTCTATATGTGAATTGTATATTTTTGCTGATGCCACCACCTGCTTGTATTTTTGCCGTTCTCGTGTCATGCATTTTGTTCGGCAATTTTTAGTCAAGACGTGAGGGTGCGTCTTCTGGATAGTCAACTTGTCAGTTGCCCTCCTCTGCTCCAAGCAGGAGATGTTTTCTCAGCGGCAAGCTGCTGTCTCAGCCTGTGAAAAGAGCATGGTCAAGTTGCAGGTGCGCAAAGTGACAAGGGGTACCGAGTGGTGAAGTGGGAACAAATCTGCAGATCTGAATTGTTTCAGCAAGCTGCAATCGTTTGGATATACTTCTTCTAGTAACTTCTAGTATTTTGTGAGAGCTGCAGGAAGAGCTGAAGCAAGCACAGGACCAGATGACCGAATCTGTCGTTTGGTTGAAATTCTGTTGGGCGAGTGGAACTGCCCTGCTTAGCTGGCTGATTCGCTGGCTATTTGATTTTTTGCAGATTTTGCAGTTGATGTGCTTTGGATGTAGCTTTGGACGTTTGACCCGCGTGTTGGCTGCAGCACTGCAGGAGGTGTTGTCTCACCGGCAAGTTGCTCTCTCAGCCTGTGAAGAGAGCGCCGCCAACTCCGAGGTGGGCAAATGGAAGGGTGCAGCTTTTTATGCTTTTCTGTTTGATGTTTGACTCTAATTTTCCCCGTGCGATTTTTGCAGTCTTGCAGTCTTTGTTGCATTTGGGCGCAGAAGCAGGGGTAGACTTCAGAAAGAATTTTGTATGACCTTGATGTGTGGTAAGAATGGTGTTGAATGCGGTTGAACCATGTTGAACCACATTTTGGGCTCAGGGCGTGTTGCAGCTAGCAGAGTCCGAGCTGAACACTTACACTTTGGAGTTGAAGGCATCAGCAGCTGCCGGGTCGAAAAATTGGCGATGTGTCAAAACTCTGGTTCGCTGGTGAATATTGAAATCTGCTAAATGGATGTTGATCAGCGATCACCCAAATTGACACATGGTACCGTAGGTTTTATAGAACGTATCCGAAACCTATCCCATCCTATCCCCAAATATGGAAGTGCGGGAATCTTTGCGCTGCGGGAGCTGGCTATACTTTCAGATCTTTCAGGCGATGAGCTCGGAAGAGGTTGAAGGTGTGCCTGTTGAGTCGCCTGACTTGTATTTGAGATGCCAGAGATGCTGGTTATATTCTTTCACCAGTCAGAGATGTCAACATTTTCACCATGTAAACTATAAAAGTGATGAAACTTGATGATAGGATATGATCGGATCCCTTTTCAGTAGAGTTAGATTCGATAGAGTTGCTGAGTTGCCAATGCCGGAACAATGCCGGAAATGTGTTCCGAGGATTGAGAAGGAGCACCAAGCCTTGGCAAAAGCTGAGCAAAGCGCTACTGCCGCTGCCACCGCCGCCACCATCCCCGAATCTGCGCAGGCAGATTCAGTCGCCCAACAGCACACTGGTGCAGAGCTGGAGGAGATTTGGATGGGAAGGGGATGGAAGGGGAGCAATTGGATTGAACATTGAAAGATATTGAAAGCATGAAACAACATGTAACAATTAGAAACAACCACTTGGATTCTGACAAAGCACCAAGGCATTTTGGTGGTTTAAAAAAAACAGCAATCAGTAGACCATGTCAGTAGTGGGGGTCGTCGTTGATAGACCAGTTACTGTATTCACTGTAGATGGTTTGACGGCGCAGGACACCCAAATAGCAGAACGCACTACTTCTGAGGCAGCCAAAGATGTTGCTGCCTCGAGCCTCGGACCATATTGGCACCGCCTACCCTGGACCTACCCCCCAACGTGCATATTGCAGTGATAGACAATGTCCAATGGCTTCTTTCGGAACGGTACGGAATCCTCAGAAACCTCACATGGCCAGGTATACATCCAGGTACCTATTCTTTAGGACCCCTTCAGGAGAGGACTTGATCAGGTTTTGCCAGTTTCCTTCTATTTATTGGCCCCGTTCTGCGTCTGACCCTTGGAAAGTATGCTTTATAATTACACGTTTATACTGTATGCATCTGTATGGCAATAGAACAAGGTTTGGCTCCCCACTTTGATGCCTGCAATGCCTGCAACATCAAAATGTTGAGGGATCCACCACATGGCGCTGATCAAAGAGAGCCACCTAGGAACGCCCTTGAGCTGTTGGATGCCCCGAATGACGAAGCAACTGCCATGGATGAAGGGGCAGGCTGGATAACGACTGATATCGACTGATCATGGTGGTTTGGGGTGGCCCCAAATGACCCGAAACATGCTCATGAGTTCAAGATATTTCAAGTCATTGCGTATGAAGGTGCGCCTATGAATCCTATCGGTCCTATCATGTGCATGATCTGATTTGCTACATCTTTTCCTATCCTCAGCTTCATTTCATGGATTCGAAATGATTCGAATGTATGTAGGACAATCCATTGTGGCACTAGTGCAAGTGCTTCTGGCGCTGGCCGCTGGATGTTATGATTTATGATATTGACGCTTGATCACACTCTGCTCCCCATAGTGCTTCTATGGTTTTGGGCTGCAGCATGGAACCGCAGTGAATATTCAATAAGAGTAAGGCCTGCAGAGGTGCAGTGTAGCTGCCCTTTATCCGTTGTATTCCGTTGTGCCATGATCAGCTCTGTATAATTCTGTATATATACCTCTCTCCATCTTTCTCATATTTTGTCATTATTGTATATTATTGTCATTAATTTCACCATTGGCTCGGCTGCAGAACCTTGAGCACAATACTATAGTGTCATGGCATGGAGAGGCACTGTGCTGGAGCCAGGCCTGGAAACCAACACTGAAATAACTGAAGCAAAGGCAGACTTTTCAGCCATGGTCCGGCGACTAGCGCACAGCTTTGCACAGCTTTGCGCAGCTTTACATAGCTTTACATATCCTGAAAGATGCTGAAAGATGCTGAAAGATACTGAAAAGGTTTGGAGTTGGCAGCTGCTCTTCGATGACCTTCATTTCAGGTCAAACGCAGTCGACCGCCATCTGGCAGAGCAGTCAGGCAGCTCAGTCGTTGCATATGTTGCCCTCAGAGTCTTAGAGAAGTTGTTGGAGAGTGGCGTGGTCTTCTTGTCCAAAGTCTGATTTTGGAACACTGCAGCACCTGCAGTTGAGTTTTATGAAGGGAATCAAATGCAAGATGAATGCAATAGACATAGGACGGGGATGTAAGCCTGCTGCCAAAGCCTTCTGCACCATGGTTTCGGCACCTGCAACTCATGGACATACCGAGGCCAAAGATGCTGCTGCTACCAAGTTGCAGTCGCGACAGCGTGACAAACTGAGAGGGATGAATGAACACCTAATCATAGCTAATAAACCCAATATACTTGGAGGGATGGACATCCAATTGCTATTGTTTTTGATGTTCACCAGGGGCCTGCAGGGTACCATGGTTTTAATCCATAGCCACATGCGTTCGTGCCAGAATGAGTTACATAATGTGAATCCCTTTATCGCAGCCTTTAACTGATCATGAGACCTTTCCTTTCATGTTGAAAAGTTCTGACGCGTTTTGTGCCGCTGGACCTGCGAACAGTACCTTGAGGTGGCATCATGGCCCGTTCGAAGATGGCGACCCTTCGTGCCACTCGTGCCAGTGGTGCATCTGAAGCTCCAAAGGCCCCAATCTGACTTCTTTGTTGCAGATGTTGAAACCACCTTGTGCCGGTTTTGTTTCTTGCCTACTGACTTGCGCACCCTTGCAGGATGTGAGCTACCAACGCATCAAACAGCCTCTAGCGCCAGCAAAGAGAGAGGACCGCTGCTGGAAAGAAACTATAACTCAAGTTTCAGGGCTGCTCCAGGAATACTAAACCAATACCAATACATACCAATACATAACCACAATGGGGGAACATGAGTTTCAACATCAGACATATAAGCTTCAAAATTAGAGTTTTTTTTGGTGTATTCCTGCGTTACTCGTTTGGCCGGTCTTGCTGTGCCGAAAAATGATGCAGGTTGAAAGTTGAGACTTTATAGAATATCATAGAATCATGTTTGCTGTGAAAGAAATCTCAGGTGGATTGAGGTGACCTGTTGCTCTGAGGCATTTTGACTTTTTTCTATCACCTGACAGGAGCGTGAGAGGGCAGCCATCAAATTGCAGGCATTGGAGCGTTGGAGCCTCACAAACATCGTGCCAACTTATCAAGAATTAATGTCCGTATTAACAACGCTTATTTGTTATAGTCAATAGATTCAATAGATGATGTTAGGTAGAGATACCCAGGTGGTGTTCTGGCACGCAGCAGAGTGCAGCGCTTGAAAGATGCGCGGGCCATGACTCTGGCTCCTCAGGCGTGGCCATCTTTGGACGGCCAGATTCCGCCAGATACCATTGGTTACATTTGGTTACCATTCACAGATTTCAGAAGTGACTATGACTACAGACACCGCTTTAACATCGTTCATAGTTGTTCCGGTATTCATTGGATCACAGCTGTTGTGCAGGAAGAGAAGAAGGCCGACACGTATCGCCAAGTGCTTGGGATTTTAGATGGTTTCTCTCGGTTGCTCTTTCGCAGCAGTTTGTTGTTGCGTTTTTTTAAGACTTTGTCGGATTGATCATGAACTGCAAAAGTTCTGAAAGAAACTCTCATTCTAGGCATTTTAGTTCGGATACAGCACGACTTCATTAAAGCGAGGCTAATGTATACCAAGGGCCTTGTAGAGCTGTGCGGGCTACACGTGATAGTTGCAAGATGTTGCAAGCCTGTATTCAGAGCAGTCGGCCCAAAGCAACTGTACAGGAGCAGAGTTGATACTCTTGGAATCTCTTGAAATCCTGACACATTCTGAAACCAAAGTAGTGCTACACATGCTGGCGGCAGCTACACTGTACTTTACTGTTGCAACAAGTTGTCCCACTTTCTAATCTTCCTGTCTAGTGAATGAGACTGAGATGAGACCCTGTGCTAGAACAGCTCTGGTGGTGCTGGTGTTAAGCAGACATGCTAAAAGATCTTGTTTCTGTTGAGCAATCCATGCGGACATTTTCTACCAGAAGTCATGGAACTCTGGAGCCTGACTTGAAGATTGCAACATGGGTGATGCCCCTTGTAGCCTTGGTTGTTTCTCGGCAGAACGTGAAATCGCCGCAGAGAGTCTATGTTGCTAGCCGCAGTGGGTCTTAGAGAGTTCTGATTGCTTGCCGTATGAATATTGCGGCGCTGGCCTCTCTGTGATTGTTAGAATTTTGTTGTGGTGCTTCTTTGGCAGATAAAAATAGGCATTGCTGTCTATTGGACTTTGTGCCATTTTGATTTTGAAATCAGGCTTATTAAAAAATCATAGTCATAGTGAAAACTATCATGTTAGAAGGACGCCAATTGGGTCATTGGCACCGTAATTGTGATCGATAGCAACCACTTTTTCAGAACCGAAACTCTGCAAATAAATTCACCAAGGACACCGTACCTGTTATAGAGTTCAATGGGAGTTCATGGCCGAAGTTAGGCCGAAGTTAACGCGATGTCCGTGGCAAAAGCTTCACAGGAATGTCCTTTGAAGCGTTTTTTGGCACGGGTTGGCCAGTGGTGCGGCCTTTGCCTCAAGCTGCTACCTGCTGTCCATCCTCAGCAAGGATCAGCCAGGATTTCAACAGGCCATCAGACAATACCACGAAGAGTTAGAAGGTCTCTGTGAAACGACGGACTGGAGGCAGGTGCTGGACACCCGATGGGCAAACCACTTGAGGTGCGGACTACGTTGTTCGGATGTCAAAGTTCCTTCCGATGACGTGATGCTGTGCTTCTACTTCGTTGCTTGCAAGCTTCTGGCCCTGGCTTCAGCTTGGTCCATCCTCATAAAGGCCTTTTTGCATTGGATCTCCTGTTGAATCTTGAAGATTGCGATGCGGACTCGCACCAGTCATGCAGGTGGTACCAACGCAGGCGCACAGGAAGTTGAAGAACCTGCAGCTGCGACCGCCATTCCACCGTCGGAGGTGCTGACCCCATCACTCTTTCAACAAGGGGTGGCGGACTCCGCCAGAACTCCAAGAACCCCTGGAACTGACAGAACTCCAAGGCTGGAGACGGCAGAACAAGCCCCAAATACCGAGGGGGTCAACGACTTTCAGGGCGGCCTTGAGCTGGTAAAGCACGACATCAGCAAATTCTGCAGGCTGCTTTAGCATCAACAGAGCCGCCATCCCCATCAGGATTCGTGGTCAACCTGAGCATGTGGTGAGCCAGAGAGTCTGCCAGTGACACTTCAAAGCCGATTGGCCAGCTAACATGGCTGGCAGACTTCCGTATTTCGATGTAATTGCATGGAGGGTTGGTGGTGGTTGGCCCTCCGATTTGTGGCCACTTGTCACTGCATCATTCCGTTCTATCAAATATGATGGCCCATAGTAGAAAGTATAGCTGCAAGAGGGTTGTACGTGTGACATGGGAACGCACCATGACATGAAAACAGGGACGCATAGGAAAACTGCAAAAGTATGCATGTTGGTCGAGAACTACTTGTTCTGACCGATATCGCAAAAAGAGATCAACAAACTAGTAATGCCACGAACGACAACATGTATAATCTTTGTTCAGGCAATACTTTTTTGTTTTCATGTTTCAACGCTTTACTACTCGTACCATACCCGTAGGATTTTTTGTTGTATCGGCCGATCAAACTGATTGGCGACCTTCAGCCAGGCTTCGAAGAAGTTGCAATCAATCTCCGAACTCCGCGGGTGGGGCTGCCCCAGCACAGCCATTGTGGATGTGATGGAGAATCACCGGCGCCAGAGAATTATGCCCAATATGTATCCATATGTCAGCGAATTCGGAACAGAGGAAGGATAAAAATGTGTGATTTTGCACAGTGGCATTGGAACTGAGGTCATTATCCGCAAAGGCACCGCATCGACAGACACAGCAAGGGCCCAGTGTTGGGGAGCCCAGCTGAACCGCCCTGGTAGCCGTTTTTAGTCGTTTTTCATCCGATCATACTGTATTCAGTAGTTGCTAGGAATAGGCTCGTCAATACAGACCCTCCTTGGATGCACAGGAGTCGTACCTCTTGGATCCTTTCGGTTGTTTCATGCAGGGAGGCAGCCGGGTATGCATACCAACCCTAGTCACCAGACTCTGCATACAGGACAGGCTCAATTCGGCGGTCGCGTTTTCATCTTGGTTTGAGGGTCACACTCCCAGGAACGCATGGAATTTTGGATCACCCGAATTTGAACCCAACTGGGTATGCTCGAG